GTTTTGTCTTTTACATTTCCATACATCTCTACACTTGTTTTTACAGCGCATAGAGACTTTTCGTATTGTGCACTTAACAAATTTTAAAACCATTAAAGCATTAAGTCACTTACTAGTTAAAATTCCTATACTCAGAAAATACTGATAAATATCATTAGCAAAATATGACCACATTTGACCACAGACCAATGCTGTACCCCCAATAAATGCTGCGTTCCGATGTCCTAGGCTACAACTGATCCAGCCGCAAGCAAACCCTTGAAAAAGAAAAAAGAAAAAAAAACACAGAGAAATGGGTAGTTAGCGCATTATGTATATAGCGTACGGAAGATAAATATGAATTATTATCTTGATATTATTAATATTTATTATCATTGACATGATTACGTGATCTGAAAAAATATGAAAAGGGAATAGTGAATAGTAGGAATAGCTTACAATTATAATAAACAATTAAATGCATGCCCCAGCGACCGCTTGAAAGTATGCACACAAAAGGCGAATTGTAAATGACCCATATCATCCCGGTAACGGTGAAAGCCAAGAGTTCAGATCCATTAGTATGGTTAACCATCACAACCACTAGGTCGGTTTTATCCTTTTATCCATCCGTTACCAGACCTAATATTCAAAATTCACGATTGTTTTTATTGTCAATATACCTACATTTAATTTTATACCTGCATAATAAATTTCAGTATCATGAATACATATTACACTCAGACAGATGGTTTGGTAAATCATTAATAACAAATTATTAATAGTAAGGGTCTCAAGATGTAACTTAACTTCTAAACCATGCTTAGGCCTACATTACTGACATTATCTACATGAAAGATATAGCAGTAAGATATTATAATAGCATGCATCCAACCAATTATCTATAGCATTTATTGAGGGTCAACAAAGTGCCTGAACGGGGCATTGACGCCCACCCCAGCTCCACAGTTGGGGCGTAGGTGAAAAAATGTTAAAAATATATGTTTTTTTTTTACGAACGCATGTTTATTTCATATCCTCACAAACAAGTTGACTTTTATGTACCATATTATAATAAATAGTGTATATTATATTATTAATATAGGAAATGCATTGGAGGTAGACGACGAACTCTATACTACTACTGTACTATATTATTTGGTGAAATAAGTGAATAAAGCGTACATAAAATCTAGGAATAGGGATCATAAGCAAAAAAATACATAGGCCTATGTTCGTTAAAAATAGTTACCTCAGATGCCCAGAAATGGCTCTATAAAAATTTGTTCGAATAGTTTTTTTTAACTGTCAATATATAGGCCTTAACTGCATTTAGATATAGGCCTATTTTTAAAATCTTTTTCACTTGGTGTAGTCGATTAATAAAATCATAATAATTATCTTGATTGGAAACATTGAGGTATGCTGCCCGCGCCAAATGACGTTTGCCCTGTGAGAAAACAGTACATAATCTACTGAACATGCTTTCCTGTATAAAAAATAAATAAGATAAATAAATAAATAATATAAAACCAATAAACTGAAATGTTTTGAAAGGCTTACCCTTAGAATGATACTTGAGCCATTCCAGTTGAGTTAATCCTAGCAAAGAGTATAGAATGGCCATATTCTTCGATCTTATCTATAGATGGCGCACACAGTAAACCATTGACGTGTTCAGACAAGATTCTTTTGGCATTTGTTTAAATTATTGTTAAAAATAACGATTTATACTTTCCAATAATAAATTTCAATTTAACGAAAGCATTTTTTTAAATCATCTAACCACTCGGCGCGACTGTTTATGCAGTTTACAAAAGCGCGAGCGAAGTCGCGTTGTTATAGCATGGTTATAGTGACATCGATCACTAACAACGCAAAAAACTTCGCTGGGCGTGTTTTTAAACTGCATAAACAGTCACGTCAAGTGGTTAGTGACGAAATGACCAATCACCATTCAATTACGTACTCTGTGAGCGAGCGTACGTTTCGCGAGCAATGTTTTGAAACACGTTTCCTGATTCCGGTTCATTATTATGCAAATTCTCGCCTGGCTAAACCCGCTAGTCTGAACGCCCGGCAAAGTTAAGCCGGGCTTAACGTTGAGAGCCGGACTTAACTCAAGCCTGGCTTATCTCCAAGTCTGAACGTAGCCGGTGGCACGCCAAGCCTAGTTACTATAGGAACACAGCCCGGCTTGAGATAAGCCACCTAGTTCAGACTGGCAGGTGGATAAACCCGGTGAGTTGAGCCGGGTTTATCCACCTAGTCTGAACTAGGCCTAAATAGTTTTAAGGATGTCTTTACATTAGCTTTTTGGCTTTTATTTATTCTCTTGTGTAATTTCCAAATTGATAGGACTAAATTCATTTTTTTTTTATAGCAAACTAATAATTAATATTTTAAGGTAGACCTACTTGATAATTTGATGTTTTTTTCAGTTTTTGTTATTATATACTTTATTTGAAAACAACACCTTTAAGATCAGTGGTACTCACAACCATTGCGGTGCGTTAAAAATGGTAAAAAGCTAGTAAAATTATAATTGATACATACAGGTTATGCACAGCATAACAAAAGGTAACAGTCAATAAAATTCAAATTTTAGAATAACAAGTCGTTTTTCACCATGAAAATACGTACCAAACACCACAAGGATTGACAAAAATACAAATGATACTTAGGATAGGCCCTACTAATTTACATAAACGACATAGAAATTTTAGATTTTTAAAATCATGCTCGTCTTGTGCGGATCGTACGTAACACGGGAATTTACTACTGCAATGAAGATAAAATGTTAGTAAGAATGAACGCTATTTTAAATACGGAAAAATAAGATTTTGATGGACATTTAAAAACTATTATTATTTGGAAGATTACCGTAGCCTTGTATTTGGTCCCGATTTTAGCCAACTATTTGCTGTATAGCAGAAAAAAGGTAGGAATTCAAACCATGAAACAGGGGGTCGTCTTACTCCCGTCATACAACAGTAGTCGTATCGCGGGTCGTCTTATACGCGAGTGTATTATACGGTACCTCTCAAATGGTAAACGTTTAAAAAACCAACAACTAATAAATGTCCAAACTAAATGTATGTGATGCAAGCGCACATATATTTTTTTCTGCTATTACTGCGGCTATATCGCTCTCTTACTGATATGTCCTTCACTCTTATTGAGCAATTATAGTCTCTTCATGCACTATCCGTTTCTCCTAGCTGAACTATAATTTGTCTAATTTAATTGTATCCGGCTCACTCATTGAGCTCTTTTGGTCTATTCCTATGTTATTTTTTTTTTATCTTCCTGACTCTCTTTCCAAACCATTCTTTTTTTTCTCCCTGATTTATATTAATTCGTTTATCGTACTAAGATTTTCTTCTTTGAGTCTTACTGAGCTATTCTTTTCTTTCGCTTGCTTTTCTTCTGCTTTTATTATCTTCTGAAGTATTTGTCTCCTCTTCCAACAAGCCGAAATTAATTACCCACATCATCCGTATATATATATATATATAT